GATAAATATCACATGATCTCACTCATATGTGGGATATAATGAACAACATAAATTGATGAACAAAAATAGAACTGGAGTCATAGAAGCATCGAACAGACTGTCCAACCTATGAGGGAAGGCGGGGGGTAAGGGGGTAAGAGATGAACCAAAGGACTTGTATGTATGCATATGAGCTTAACCAATGGACACAGACAGTAGGGGGGTGAGGGCATGTGCTAGGGCAGTGATGGCGAACCTATGACACGCGTGTCAGAGGTGACACGCGAACTCATTTTTTGGTTGATTTTTCTTTGTTAAATGGAATTTAAATATATAAAATAAATATCAAAAATATAAGCCTTTGTTTTACTATGGTTGCAAATATCAAAAAATTTCTATATGTGACACAGCACCAGAGGTAAGTTAGGGTTTTTCAAAATGCTGACACGCCGAGCTCAAAAGGTTCGCCATCACTGTGCTAGGGGGTGGGGGTGGCCGGGGAGAGGTCAATGGGAAAAAAGGAGACGCATGTAACACTTTAAACAATAAAGAATTAAAAAAAAAATAGACCAGTGAGGATAAAACCCTGGTTCTGGAGCAGATGAGTGGGGATAGGGCATCTCTAAGAGGACTGAGAACTGAGTATGGGACAGGTCTGTTATTGGCACGCTGCACTTTCCTGTTGTAAAAGTAACTTAAACAGAGCCACTTTCCAATGGGGTCAGAACTGCCTTGCCCCTCGCACCTTTAGAATGTGAAAACGGGGCACTAACCTTTGGACTGGGCCTACAGCAACATTATATCTCAAACAACTGTTTGCAAAAAAAATGAGGAGAAAGCAGATACTGTGACTTCGGACTGAAAATAAAGAAAATTCTTTAGAAGTAGCATCATTATGTTACCCTTCCTTCCTTCTATTGATGTAAATGTTGCCCTTCCATTTCTCATAAATATCCCTTGCCTTAGTCTCCTAACCACAACCCTTGGGATTTCTCTTGTTGCCTCTCACTTTGGCCTTTTCTTTTTAGGTTAACACTGTTAAAATGATGCCCTAAGATCCAGTTCTGCCCCGGCTTCACCTGAACAGCAACTGGGCAGCAATCAAGACACAGCAATCGAGACTATGACCCACATTTAAACAACAGTCAGTTGGAGGACAGTCATAGCAAGCACTTCTATGGCACTTACTGTATGTGTCAGGGGTCAGTCTACTAGTAAGTACTTTATATGTTGACATATCGCATCCTCACAGCAATCTTATGTGGCGGCACCATTTACACTAGCTACACGAAGGATAAAATACTCTGGAAGAAACTCAACAAATTGGAAAAAAGACCAACTAAAACTTTGAAACTCTATAGGAGTACTGCTCTGGCCACGTAGCTCAGTTGGTTAGAGCATCATCCTGATACAATAGGCTGTGGGTTTGATCCCCGGTTAGGGTGTACATAAGGAGCAACCAATGGATGCATAAATAAGTGGAACAACAAACGGATTTTTGTTCTCTTTCTCTCTCTCTTTCTCTCTCTCTCTCTCTAAAAACCCAAAAAATAAATAAATAAAAAGAAAAGAAACTCCGTGGGAGGACAGATGGCTTGACCTACTGGAAAGACACAACAACACATCATGTTCTTGGATAGAAAGACAGCACCACAGCGATGTCAATTTTCCCCAAGTTAACTTTGAACACCATCACTTAAGATTCAGTCAGGCAAACATTGCCATACTGGGCAGTTCAACCGAGGGAATTTTATCCAAGGAACAAGTGGTAAACAAAAGCCAAAAAACCCAAATGGGGCATGGGGGGGTGGTCACCCACCCAGGGATGACTCAGGAGCCTGCACTGTGGGTGGGAGCTGGGCCTGGGAGAGTGGGCTGTCCCCTGTGTGTGTGTGTGTGGTGGTGGGAGGGTCTCCGCCCTTTTTCTGCAGTGCAGAGTCAGAGAATAGAATGGCAGTCAGACCTGTCTGCACTGTTGACACTGGAATTGCTTGCTCCTCTTCTACTTCCCCTACTACATTTGTTTTATTGACATATATTTGACATACAATATTATTAATTTTTTTTAAAATATATTTTATTGATTTTTTACAGAGAGGAAGGGAGAGAGATAGAGAGTTAGAAACATGGATGAGAGAGAAACATCGATCAGCTGCCTCCTGCACATCTCCCACTGGGCATGTGCCCGCAACCCAGGTACACGCCCCTGACCGGAACCGAACCCGGGACCCCTCAGTCCGCAGGCCGACGCTCTATCCACTGAGCCAAACCGGTTTCGGCAACATACAAAATTATTATTATTCTTTTTGAAGATGGCAAATTCATTTAGATGAAATTTAGCACATGGTGCAACTCCACTTTGAATTCTGTCTTTGAATCGGTCTCT